AAAGTTAGTGTAACAATCTCCATAAAATACATGTGTTTAAATGAAGAATGACAGTTTTCTTACCCATTCTGTAGTAAATATTAGAACAGACTTTCAGTTTATGAAACCGGCCAGATACACGATGCATCAGACTTATATTCAGTGCTTCAGAAGCTGAGCAATGAAAGCATTTGAAACTAAGGATCAGAGTTCCTACGTTTTCAGTTACTTAGTGGGTAGTGTGTGTACTCAATTCATGGGAAATTTTTGATTCCTCAGAAACAAGCCAACCAGTTTTTAGTACCAAGGATCAAAAAGAGAACCAGTGAAAACAAGATCCTTTGAATGCCCATGTTTGAACTGGAGTCTCACAGTTTGCTACATGTATGGACAGCGTATGTGCAGTCTGTAACATGACTGAATTTAATTTAGGCCTATCTAAACTGCTGTTACTCCTTCGGTGACTCCAAGTGGCACAATGAAGAGTAAGGAAAATTCTGTTCTGTACTTTTATACTTAGCTTTGGGCTCTTTGGCAGTGAGGAGGCCTTAACAGCCAGACTCAGTTGCAAAAGGTGAGGAAGTTAAACTGGGATTTGAACCTCATATTGAAAGAAGTACGGGTAGGATTTGATGAAGGAAGCCAGACTATGAGGGTGATGTAGGAATAGAGAGAAAGAAAACCAGCAGATGGAGAGTAGGGCTATAAGATAGCAATGGAAGCTGAATAGGCTAGGAACATGGGTGAGAAGAAAAACAGATGCATGCCCCGAGTAGAAAGAATGAAAATAGAACTGGAAATCAGGAGAAATGTGGACAGAGAGGGAGGAGGGCAGGAACATTAGAGGACATGTTGAGGCTGCAAGTGGAAGGTTTGTGATAGGACGGGTTAAGGAGGAAATGTCTGTAGCATTTAGGTTTCTCTGCAAATTTGGCACTGAACCAAAGCACAGACATTGTACAAATAGGAGAGTATATTGTAATTACTCTGACGATCTTAGATCTGGAACTAACCCATCTGTGGAATCAGGATGATTTCACAACTTGCAGGGTTTTTTTCCATTTTTAAACTTGGAAAATAATGTCTAAAATATATCCTAAAGAGCTTTAGGTTGGTATAATCAAGTTTGCAGAATTAGAAAGGGTTGGTATTTTGTATGATTTTGGCAGGACTTCCTTTGGAGGATGTATTATTTGTATTTACTTGCTTGGCATTCTTTCCTATTAACAAGCTTAATACTACTATTTGCTGCTTCTTGAATGCTTAATTTTACAAATTTATTGTCTTCTAATGTACTTCATTGTTCAATTACACTTTTGAGGAGTACTGCTGTACATCTCGGGTTTTGTTAATGGGATAGACAATGGTAAAAAAGAGTCTGTTTCTGTTAGGTAAAAACACATTAGAGTTGCTATCTCAGTACTTATGGAATGCTTGTAAGAAGTTGGAAATGTTAAGTGAATCTCACTTTACACACATATATGATAGAAATCTCTGAATATTAGATTAGGCTGTGTTGGATGTGTTTTGTTGTTCCTCCATTCAAAAAACAGTTGGCTGCCATACTTTCTTCAGTGTACAGACTACATGATTTTACCATGAAATCTTTCACTTTACTCTCATTGTATGTGTATTTTGAAAAGTTACTATATCATTATCCACCATTTGCAAAAACAGACTCCTCTGATTGAAAAATCTTAAAACCATCCTTACAAACCAGAGTTTAAGTCCCTCTCTGAATATTCTCTCTTCTACTTTACTCTAGAAATAACCTTTTTGATAACCATTGTGTCACTCTGCTTTAGCAAACTTCAGGCATCATTGACTGGTCATCCTAATGGCACAGAGACGTAATGAACTTGAGACCTCATTCCAGATGATTCTTACATGTGGGGATTTTTCATTTTTTTTCATTAGCTCAATCTGTAATTTCCCTTTCATTCCCAACCCTCATTCTTCTGTGAGACAAAAACCTCTATTCTTTCACTATATCAAGTTTGCTAAAATTTCTTGATGGAGAAAAATCCTGCACACCTGCATTCCACTATTTTTCTCCATAATAGTATTAAAGCATAGGCTGGTTTTGTTTTCTTTTGTTTTCCCTTAGAGACCATCTGGGCAGATTAAGGAATGTATTTTGACATTGTGTTACATGACTGTATACACACATGCACACATACTTGTGCTGAAATAGTAGCCAAGAAACCAGAGGTACTATTTGGCCAAGTAAAAGCAAATATGACAAAAAACCTCTGGTGCTACAGTGGAGGAGTTACTAGTGAGCTCAACAGTGTAGTAAGGTCAAAAGAAAACTGACCCTTCATAACCTTACCAGAACAAAACAGATCATGCACATGTAAGCTACTTCAAATTTCCAAAACAAAGTACAAAAATTTTTTCTGAAGTTACTGTTCATGACTGGGTTGATAAGCATGCTCTGGAAGCACCCAGCTGATTGAGTAGACTTACAAAATCATCAGTGAGCTACAAGCTTCTCTGTAAAGTATAGAAAGTAGGTATAGAGAAGAATGCATAGCCTATGTTTATGCATGTTTCCAGTGTATAAGCTCTGTACAGAACAGATCATTGAACCTCAGACTAATTTAAGGTCTGAAGCTGTGTACAGGAAGGCATTGCTATTTAATTTGTATACAGGCAGAAGATATGAATTTGTTGTTGAAAGTCAATAAATAGGACTTGTAGATAAATTTCATTTGTCTGTTGCATTGCATATCAGTTGGCTGGGTGACATGTATCTTTGTGAAGACTTACTCATTTTGGAACAAAACAGTCTACCCAGGATTGTAAACCATGTATATAGGAGAACAGATTTAGCGTCATGTCTGCAGCTGATCATGTACAAAGTGTGGAGAATGTAAGAGTACTGAAACATTTTGTGTGGTAAAATGGAAATGGGAGCATACAGTCAGGGAGAAGTGATGAAATGCTTAAAGCATCAGCACTTGAAAAGCATCCTCAAGCAAATTTGACAGCAGTAGTCGATAACCAGCTAGATAATTGGCGTTTAGCAGTTTGAGTGCAGTAACTCTGAGAACAAGCATAAGAAAATTGTTTTCAAAAGAGTGACCTTTTCATGAGCTTGGTAGGCCGAACTTCCAGACTCTGCTCATGCAGCTTCTGTAGGAACAATCTCATTCATGCATTGGACTGTTTACTCATACACGGATGTCTACAGAGTGATTATAAAGGGCTTCATAATGACACCTGTTTGTTCTGTTCCAAGTTAATTACAGTGAAAATTGCTTCCTCTTTGTGCCTTAGAAACATTTCCACATCTGAAATCCTCAGGGAAAATATTTGAAGTAATCCCCTTCCTTTTGTTAAACCCTCTCAATCCCACCTAAAGATCAGGTGCTAAATAGGATGGAATTGTGTTGCAACTGCTATTTGACAAATGACAGCTAACATTACAGCCGTGCTGGGTTAGAGTAAAGGTTTAGCTGGCATTCTAACAATTTGTTAAGTGACTTCTGTGTGAGAAGAACCATCTTTCATTTAATAGTTTTCAAAGGATTTCTCTGCTGCAAGTTTGTTCAGTATCCTCTTGAGTGTTAATTTTTAGCATCCACAGCATCTTATGGTAAAGAATTTCACAGGTTTTGTTTGTGAAGAATGACTTCTATTTGTTTTCATTCTGCATCTGCTAGCTTTATAGATGCCTTCTCATTCGTCTGCTGGAAAATACAGTTGATTCCTATTCTCATTCTCCATGCCACTTATGATGTTACAAGCCTCTCTTATTTCTTTTCCTTACACCATCTCTTTTCCAAGTTGTAGAGTCCTAGCTTAAGTAATTTCTTCCACACAGTGCAACTGTGTAAGTGCATGATGTTGCTGGTTGTCAAAGGTAATCCTTAATTACCTTTCTCTGATGCTTTACCAGTTCTGTTACATACCTTGTGAGGTGAGGTACTAGAATGGTAGTCAGCATTCAGTATGCAGGCAACAGCATGGAATTGTAAAGTGACGTGGTGATTTCTGTATTCTCTCTATTGCTTTCACAGTAATTCCCAAAATGTTGGTTTTGACCATCATTTAAAAGTGAGCCAAAGTTTTCGTGGATTTATCTAGTATAACCCCAAGATCTCACTCGTGAATGAAAACAGTCAGCTAGGAGTTCATTTTGTGTATATGGTTAGGATCACTTTTACAACCTCCTTTGAATTTCATATGTCATTTAATGCTAAGTTTCATAAGGTTTTCTGCTGTTCTTCACATCACCCTCACTTTCTACAGTCCAGTAATTCAGTATTCTATCAGCAAACTTTTTTACCCTTCTTTTTTGAGATTGCCTGTCAAGTACAATGAGTAGAATGAATTAAGTGCACTTTTAAGTGGAATATTATTTATCTGTCACCTATAATTACTGTATAGTGATATTCTCAAAAGTATACTTCATTTCTGCTTTTTGAGAAGGACCTGTGGTTCTGAATGACTGGAAATTAATACACCATTGTGGTCTGACATTTCTTCATGTCTTTGGATATGGGAAAAAGCAGTGTAGCCCATATCTATGATATCTCAAAGGGTTATCCCAAGGGATGCGCCACTGATGTCTAATACCACTTCTCCCTATCGCCTGTAACATAGTGGTGAAGACAGGAGACAATATCTCCTTAGTATCTCTCCCATGAAAAGACTTCAGTGCATACGTTTGTGTACTGAGAAAGAGATTCACATTGATCAGACATTTTTAAAAAGTAGAGTATACTGTAAGGTCATTGTCATTTGATTGTGCATTAACCACATGTTCAGAAAAGCCATGGACTGAGTTTTCTATGTGCTGTGTTTTGTTGTCATTATAGTATTGAATTTTCCTTATGGTGTTTCAAATACAGGTTGCAATAGTTACATACATAACCATACTAATACTTAGTAAACTCTTAGAAATACTGTATTAATTCCTGAAATTTATACCTGTAATGAACAGAACTAGCATGTATTCTAAGTTTGCTTATTTTTGAATCATCAGAACTGTTTTCTTTTTTTTTTTCTTTTAGATATAGACAAATGCAGCTTGGCACAGAAAGCAAAGTAGCTGAACTTCTTCACCAAACTAAGTTAAAGTCCTTCGAAAGTGAACATGTTCAACTCATGCAACAAGAAACAGCTAAAAATCTTTCACAATGCCAAATGGAATGTGAGAAATATCAGAGAAAGCTGGAGGTATGTTATACGAAGAGACACGTTACAGGGTATTACAGAGTTGTTTTCAATTAGAATGGAAGATGGAAAAGCTTGGGGAAAAAGTAGCGAAGAACATACATGGCTGAGTTAGTATCTCCACCAAATTTTGCTGAAGCAGAATCTAATGACAAAGCTTATTAAGTTTGACCAGTTCAATGGAAAAAAAACTTGAGAGAGGAAGAAGGCAAAACAATCTCTTATAGACAGATGTTGAAGACAGTACCTCATTCACGTGAGATATATATATGCTTGCATCACAAAGCTGCTTGTGTCAGTCTATGTGATTATTGTAGAGAAAGAAAACAGTTATACCAGAACAGTTATAGTGAATTCAGTATCAATATTAAAAAGTAGTATTTGTAATAGCATTGTTACATAGTAAAAATGCATTTTATTGATACACAATTCTGGGACAAATTTTTACAGCTAAAGAAGTCAAGGAGAGCGTGGTGTATACAGCATTGAAAAGACCTAACATTGCTAATCCTGTTGTGGTGGGTTGACCTTGGCCGGCTGCCAGACACCCACCCAGCCACTCTCTCATTCCCCCTCCTCAAGAGGACAGGGGGCTAAATAAGCTGAAAAAGCTTATTTTTGGGGTTGATATAAAGATAGGGAGATCACTTACTAATTACCATCAAGGGCAAAACAGCCTTGACCTGGGGAGAATTAATTTCACTTATTACCGATTGAAATAGATTTGGATGGTGAAAAACAAAGACAAAAACTAAAACATCTTTTCCCAGCCCCTTCTCTTCTGGGTTTAACTTCCTTCCTTCATTTCTGACTCCTCTACATCTCCCTCCCAGAGCAGCGCAGGGAGGGATGGGGAATGGGGGTTGGGGTCAGTCTGTAACACCTCCTCTCTGCCGCTCCTTCCTCCTCACACTTTTCCCCTGCTCCAGTGCGGGTCCTCCATGGGCTGCAGCTTCCTTCAGGAGAAAATCTGTTCCTGCTTGGGCTCTCCACGGGTTGCAGTTCCTTCAGGGCATGTCCACCTGCTCCAGCAGAGGGGCCTCTATGGGCTGCAGTGTGGATACCTGCTCTGGAGTGGTCTTTGATGGTCTGCAGGAGGACAACCTGCTTCACCATGGTCTTCTCCATGGGCTGCAGTGGAATCTCTGCTTGGGCGCTTGGAGCACCTTCTCCCCTCCTTCTGCACTGACCTGCGTGTCTACACCAAGGCTGTTTCTCACGCTTTTTTCCCCTCACTCCTCACTGCCATGCGCCATTTTTGTCCTTTCTTAAATACGTTTTCCTTGAGGTGCTACCACCTTGTCTGTGGGGCTGAGGGGTGCCCTGGGGTGGGCGGGTTGGAACCGGCTGGAACCGGCTGTGTCCGGCACGGGGCAGCGCCCCTGCCGCCAGCGCCTGGGCACCTGCACCCAATGCGGCTATTTACGTAGAGTTAAATAGCTTGGACCTGTTTATCTCTACAAGCTTAGAACTGATTACCTTTCAAACATGTACTTTCAAAAATGTGTCATATGCTGTTCACCTGTTTTAGTAGTGGAAAGGTGTCCAGTATTTAGCAGAGCAAACTTAACTTTAAAATAAAAATTCTTCATCTGTGCAAAGTTAGTCCCGAATTCATATCAGTGAGTCCAATTTGTGAGATTTAAATGAGATTCGTAGTGTATGTAAAACAAACATCAGTATACAAACTGGACAGGACAGAATAAAAACCTTTTTTCCAAGTGCCAGCTATAGCAGCCTTCTTTTTTTGCAGAAGGATGCTGTTCTTCAAGTCCCTGCGTTCCTAGTGCTGAACCTGCCTAGGGTGTTTACGAAAAGGAACTATACTGTGGAAACAGAGCGTTTTAGATAAAATGTAATTTCTTGTTTTGTCTGTATTGGGACATTCAGATCCTGGCTGATGAGGTTGGTTGTGGTCACGAGTACTGGGAGTGCCAGTTTTGCTAGACTTTGAGGTTGCTAAACAGATTTTTAGTTGCACAGACATGTCTAAACTTTGAGAAGATAGTTAAATTTGAGTTATATTTCCATTTTCTTTGTGGATATTTATTTGATCTGATAACATCTTGAATATTTGGCATTCAATTCTACTAACACTTTTGGCACTTCCTTTTCTCTTTAGAGAGATGCTTTGAAACCAATGCTCTTAAGAACTGTTCTTGCAGAATTTAAATATTTGATGTCTGATGCTTTTACTTTTGCTCCTTTTGATTGAATTCTTGATTTTTTAATTTCCTTTCTTATATATAGTATCAATGTATTAAGGGTTTTTTCTTACCCTTCTTATAGGACGTTGATCTTATTTAATAATGTAGTCACTAGTATTTTGTGGCTCAGCTGCAGCTGCTTTGTGAATGAACTCTTGTTTTTATTTGGATTTCAGCATAGAGTAGTTTCTCTTCTTATGCATGCTAAAACTAGGAAACAGATGGTTTATATGTTGCCAAATTTTAAACTCTACATTTATTCTTCTGTGACACTAAACCAATCTTTGAGTGGCTTGTTTCTCTAAGCATTGTGCATTCTTTAGTGTTTTTGACAGTGAATCTGGTATTACTGCTGTATACACTGTGCATACATTTCTGTATCTCAAGACCTATATTCCGTTGTCAACTTGAATGTTTGGGATTTTTATTTGGGAAGTTAGTATTAAACTTAGCTAGAGTACTACTTTAGTATTACTAAAGTAACTATTTTAGTTGCTACTATACTTACCAAGAATTTTCTTATTCCAGTTGGTTTTATAATGTTTATGTTGTCAATGTTGTTTTCTATTTGCAAGCACTATATCAAGCTTTAGTTCTTATACGGACCCTCATAACTTCTACTTTTGAATATGTGCTTTTTTTGTTTAAAGGTCAGTGGATTAAGTATTTACATTAGTCCTGAACATTAATGGCATATTACCTTTCAGTAATAAGGAAATAATAAGAATCTGGTATATCTTAAATACTAAATTTTGATATTTGTGCATTTACCATTCTGTAAAGGAACCTTATTCTTTTAAACTGATGATTGAAATCTGAATCCAGTTAAAGCAATGAAAATAAATGCATTTACACTGTTTTGACTGCTGTGTATTAATTTTTTTAAGCTGTTACCTTGCTTTTCCTAATTCTCCTTTAAAATTCTTGTAGCTTTTTCAGAGAGATTCTTAGAATTACTAAAGCCTTAGGAGATAGGCATAAGTTATACGACCTGAGAGTGTAATCTGTGCAAGATAATATAGTTGAAAAAAATAACTGATTTTTAAAGTGTTTTAATCTTTCCTGTGCAAAAGTTACATCAAATATTTAGTGTCATACTGCTAAGTATGATACATGTATTATATTTTGCCTCTTTCATAAATAGCTGTAATGCTGAATCCCTGATCCTTCCTTTATTCATTCTCACAGGTACTTACTAAGGAATTTTATAGTCTTCAGTCTTCTAGTGAAACACGCATTATTGAACTTCAAACACAGAATTCTGAGTTTCAAGCAAGGCTAGATACTTACGAAAAACTTGAAAAAGAGCTTGATGAGATAATATTACAGACAGCAGAAAGTAAGTTCTGTCACAAATTGTACTGTATCTGTAGGTGTTTCTGGCATTATGACAAGATGTCTTGTTTCTTGTGACTCTTCAAAAGTATTACAGTGCCTGTCGTTCTCCCTCCTTCTGCCTGACAATTAAGATGCAATAATTAATTTTATAGAAAATATTAACGACGGGTTTCTAGATGTGTTTGTAAATATGTATCAAAAAAACATGAACTTAGACATATGTATATTAAAAATCATCTCAGTGTTTCTTTTCCCCTCATTTCTCTTTTCCTTATTTTAATCATCAATTATAATTAGATATGGGTTTTAGGATTCTCCTATTAAAGTATATTTTGGATACCAGGAAACCCTCTTTGTTGACAGACAATTATAGGTTTCATAATACAGTACAATGACTAATGTGAATTTTTGAATGATTTGGGGGGGGAAAGCTCTTCCTTGTGTTGAATTAATAATAATTAGACATGAAGTAGTTGCTTGTGGCAGATCAGTCTATTCCAAGTACTAAACCCTGCACTGAGTTCAGGCCTGATTACTCTTGGAAGTTTTTGTCTCTGTTTGGCAAAAGTAACAATATCTGTTCTCAAACACAGCAAAATTTCTGTGAGATCTCTATTAATTTGATTCTCAGTCTAAATGAATCCACAAAGGAATTAATTTCTAATTTGAAACTAAGACTAAATCTTGAAGTCGTTTACCCTGCGTGTAAACAGAGTAGGACCTTTTAACATTTCAAACTAATTCATATATCTTCTTGTCCTTTTCTCTTTCTTTGCTCCTCCAAAAAATAATTACAATTTATAAATAATGTTTTCCAGGTAGAAGATCATTGTATAAGCTTTATGTATAAACAATAGTGTAGAGCAAAGTATATATTACTGGGATGCAGTGCTGTCTGGGTATCTTCAGTAATTAGACTGTACATGCTTTTTTATTTTATACACTGCAGCTTGTACTTGTTAGAATGGCATGACTACCCAAAGGTTCCAGTCTGACCGTAAGCATGTTTGCTATATACATGCTTATGTTTTAGTTGGTAACATGTTTTTTGAAGTGTATATATATAAACTTGCCTAAGGAGTATTTATGTATTAATACAGGATTTTTGGGCCTTACCTTCATTTTTTCCGAGGAGAAGATAGGGTTCAGAACGCTGGTTTTTGTTTACACTGATTTACATTTTCTTACGCATCTTGGGATGGCAGTAAAGTTTTTTACAGAACTAAATCATTCTTAACTTCTTCTTATGTATTTTAATTACTATTTATATTCTGTGCTACAGAACATGACTTAAAGAAATGAAAGTTTCCAAATGGACTGTTCTCTTAAAATATAATTACTTTATTTTCTGATTTTGTGGGAGAAAAAAGGGAGTTGTAGTTCAATATTATTTCAATATACTTTCTATTTAATAACTAACATTTTTTTCTTACTATTATTATAGTGTATTTGATATTGAAAGTTAGGATTAATACTAATTAAGACTGAATTCCAGCACCAAAGTGAACATCTGAGGAAAATCAGAAGAAATAAAAGTATTTCTTTTTTAAAAACACTTTGAAGGAGAACACAGACATACTTCCTCCTGTGTCTCAAATTATGTCCTGGTATTTACATGTCATAAATAGCTGAAGATAGAAAAATGGTTAAAAGAAGGAAATACAATCATTTCTCAAATTTAATGTGTTCTGGAAATACTCCAGTCTATCTTTCAGAGAATATAATTTAGGCTGAAGCACTGTGTGGAAGACGATCAGAATTTTCCATGGACTTTAGTGAGAATAAGATTTTACTCTTCAGTCCTGTGGTCACTTCATTATATTTCAATACCATGTAATATTTTTTTGTTCTCCTTGAGTTACAAAGCCTCTGCTGTTTTACAATATTTGGGGGTGCTGGTGGGGGTTGGGTTCTCTGGACTTTTTAATAAACTGTATTTGCACATGTGAGGTGGCTTTTGTCATATAATCATATAAGCTTTTTATTTTTTTCTTTGGAGAATGCGCATGTGGAAGAGATCACTGAATTGTGACTGTTATTCCCTCATCATTATGCCTCACTTTATTAATATTGAAATAACATGAAACAGCCTATTCAGGAAACTATCAAGAATTTATGTAGCCACTCCTTACAGCTTCTGCATGGTTTCCACATGAATAACAATAGTAAACTTTCTTGGCATTTGTCTATTCTTCCTTTTCAGGGTAAAATCTTCACTTCAGGGTATTTTTTTGTAGACTTGTTGTTTGATTTTTCTTGCTCCCATTGCTTAGTATCTTTTAAGAAAAAGGTTTAGCCTATCTGTATCCTCACAGTGGCACTTTTTTGCAAAGTAGTATAAAAAACTGTTGTTAATATGTGTCCCCCTAACTTGTAAAAGGTATATTTTACACCACAAAGTCAGGCGAAGAGCCTGGAAAGACATAAAAGAAGACAAGGGAAGCACACACTGGTACAGAACATTACTTTGGCTTGGTATCTACAGCATTTCCAAATTTTTTTTGTGTGTGTCTTCACTATCTGACATTTACATGGACGCTACTGACAGATATGAATTTATAGGGCAGGATCTTACTGACATTTTTCTGAGACACACAACACTGAATTTGTAACCAAAAAGAATGATTATGACAAAGGCAGGTTAAATTATTTTTTTATGTTTTTCTGAACCAGATGTATTTAAGGCACTGGAGAATTCCCTGTCATAACTAAGACAGCCTTGAAAATCTGAAGTTCTGCTGCCTTTGTACTGCCACGTCAGTAAACTTTTTCTGTCGTACTGGAATTTCTGTATTGTTTTTCGTGTAACTAGATATGTGACTTATCACAAGTACTCTACTAAAGGCTTTTCTCTTTCCAAATGTGTATTAAGAATCCATGTTTAAAATAGCATTAAAAGGGTATTAGACAAGTGAGGAAAGAACCCATTGCATTGTGCAAGTTGTTGAGAGGAGAAGGTATTTCTGATTTTGAGGCACTTGAGCATTAGGAAAGATGAGTCAAATAGGACTGTCATGTCATTTCCTAAATTTGTTTCTCCTCTTCCCAACTACTTGATTCATCAAAGCTCTTGTGTGGTGCCTGGGCTGGTGTTCCCTTGTCCTCCCTCCATCTCTCACACCCCTGCCACTCCCCCTTTCCTCCTCCTCCTCTCTGTCCCCCTCTCTCTGCCCCTGCCTACCTCCCACACACACACTTCTTTTTTTCTTTTTTCTTTTTTTTTTTTTTCCGGGCTCACTTTATTTTACAGGAGAGAGGAAACCTGAATTACATGAGCTGAAATATTAAAATCTGTACATGTTTTAATCTTGCTGCTATTGGGTTTTCTTTTCAAAGCAATTCCAATGTGTTTTAAATCCTTAGAAATATGTTTTCAGAAATCAATCATCTATGGAGGCAGAGATTATTTTTAATATTTTTATTTTGCATAGACATAAGAATCTCCTTCTTGCCCTTCCCTGAAGATGAGTATGGCATTTCTTTTCCTCAGGTTATCAGAAATTTCTGATCACCACAGTCTTTCAAAAATGATAGTGAGCATCCTCACAGTGTCATCAGCTCCCTCAGCAACCTCGGATGTGTCCCTTCTGGTCCCATGGACTTGTTTATGTCCAGTCGGCTTAAGCACTCCCTAATTTTATCTTCCTCTACTTCCTCATGTACACATAGAAAATTAATTCTTTAGAAAAAAAACCTAAACAACCCAACCCTGTACTGCTAAATTAAACTTATAGTATTAGTGTGTATTTTGTGACTACACCAATAATATGAATATTCAAGGACACTGAACTCTTTTCCTTTACTTTCTTATTGCATAAGTCTTATGTTGATTGGAAAAATAAAAAGTGAAAAGCCTGCTAGTGTTGTAAGAAATTAATGTATGGCACTGTTTTAATGCTAAGTGTGAACCAGATTGTTCCACTCAGGTCCAGAGATTATACCAACTGAAAATCTAGCTTCTAGAAAAATGTTTGTGCATGTGTATAATTATAAATAGAATTGCTTAAAAGTAAGTTCTTGCACTGTAATTTTGTTCTTCAACAGTACCTTTCTGCAATTTTTTGCAGTGGAAAATGAAGTTGAAGCTGAAAGGGTTCTCTTCTCTTATGGGTATGGTGCTAATGTTCCTACAACAGCCAAAAGACGACTGAAGCAAAGGTAAAAAGTGCCTCCTGAATTCACTTGTTCAACATAAAGTAAATGAAGATGTGCGCATTATGTTTTGTCTTAGAATCCAGCTAGTTTGATTAATATAAAGAGGTTTTTTAATGACTTAAGTGTACAGAAATAGAATGAAGACTAGGACCTGTTAATGTGGTTGACGCACATAAATGAGCGTATACGTATTTTTCTCAGTCATTTTAAGATCTTTTTTCATTGTCTTTCAGAAAGATGAATTTTACTTGTATAAAACTAAAAAGCTGTAAAACCAGACTGGTTAAATTTTTTACATTTATATAATAGGAAATAAGTTTTTAATAAGCTAAAAATGATTGTATGTGATTGGAACAAAAACACATCTGTCGGCAAATTAAGAATGCCAAAGTTTCAGAGCATCACTATTTCATCTTTACAAATACAGGATCTGATTCCAGTTATATTTCTTCAGTTTGCTCTGATAGCATTTGATCAATAGATAAAAATGATGTGTAAGCTGAATAACATACTTGATCATAGTCATTTTTAAATAATAAGTTTATATTATTGTCGTGGTTTAACCCCAGCCGGCAACTAAGCACCATGCAGCCGCTCACTCACTCCCCCCTCCACAGTGGGATGGGGGGGTGAATCAGGGGAAAAAAAAGTAAAACTTGTAGATTGAGATAAAGACAGTTTAATAGGACCAAAAAGGAAGGGAAAATACTACTACTACTACTACTACTACTACTACTACTAATAGAATATACAAATTGAGTGATGCAAGAATACAACTGCTTACCACCTGCTGACCGATGCCCAGCCAATGCCTGAGCAGCAATCCCCCCACCCCAGCCCCCCCAGTTTATATACTGGACATGACATCACATGGTCTGGAATACCCCTTTGGCCAGTTTGGGTCAGCTGTCCTGGCTGTGTCCCCTCCCAACTTCTTGTGCCCCTCCAGCCTTCTCATTGGCAGGGCACGAGCAGCTGAAAAGTCCTTGACTTAGTATAAACACTGCTTAGCAACAACTGAAAACACCAGTGTGTTATCAGCATTCTTCTCGTCTGAAATCCAAAACACAGCACTATACCAGCTCTAAGAAGAAAATTAACTTTATTCCAGCCGAAAGCAGGACATCATGTATAGCTGGTTTTTACTACAAGCATTAGTTTGCTTAGTTGGTTTTGTCCTCTTAACCCCCACCTTCTCCATGACAAACAATACTTCAAAAATTCTTGATGAGAATTAAGGGCAAATGATGATCTGTTCATGTTTACAACAAAGATTTATGGGCCACGTACTATTTCTTCTGTCCTTTATATTTGTTTTCAAGTAAGTGTTGTCGATATGATTATCAATCAGATTAGACCTGTTGTGCACTGAGTTACATATTGCTGACAAAAATCATAAAAATTGTATGTAGTACTTAACTTTGGCACGGCTTAATTTGCTCCTTCATGTTTTTAAGTCTCTTCCCTAACTTGTCAGAGAAGTGTTTAATTTCTCTTTTGTACTAGAAGGGATCTTAACACACGTCTCATATCTCCTAAATAAAAGTCCAAATAACTAGTTTGAAGAATGAATTTCTCTTTTTCTCAGTTATTGTTTACACAGTCCAATCCTCCTTGTAGGAGGAACTGAGAGAACCAACCTCTTACCTGAAATTCTCAACAGCATTCACTAATTCCTCTCATAAAAGGCAAAAATAAAAGATTGTCTGTATGAAAGGGTAGATTTATAACACAGGTGAAGAATATTAAGACTTCTGCCAAATCTAAAAGTGTATTCCCTTTTGCTGAGGAGAAGGTGGAGGTTATGACTGGTCAAATTTTCAGCGAAAGTTTATATGCTACTGTCTAGCTTTACACACTCTGAGCCTCAGCTTAAGGGTGAATATAATCTCCCTGTTGGTCTGCTTTAGACCACTTAGACTTTTACAGATTCAGGATCATGGTCAAGAACTGGGTAACACTTTGCTATCCATTATTTGGAGACCAACAGTCTTGTATCTTCTGTTTTGGATGGTATGTATTGAGAGTCCAAAATCTGAACTGGAGTGACTTCTCCCTTTCTTCAATATACAAGTGTCTGAAAAATGGCACACATTTTACTGGAAGGATAGATTGTTGTGGAGAGCCATTAGTCCAGTGGTTAAGGCACACTAAAAAGTGGTATTAGCCCTGTATGTCTTCCTCATTTTTAGAGCTCTGAATTTCCCATGTCATGTTGTGAAATTGATTGGTGACTAGAGTACCTAAACATGGAGGGGTACAGTGATAAATTCTCTATATACACTTTTGATAATAAGCCACCAAGTTGCTCAATCCTACAAAGATGGCAGGATTCATTACAGGATACATAAATTTTGACATCTAATCCCAGGTTTAACATGGAGACTTGGCATCTAACTTCCCATTATAACTAATTTAGTTCTAATCAATACAGTCAATGGAATTTGGAGTACATTTCAGTTCACAATCCAGAAGTCCATTTTAGTGGAATATAGTCAGACTCTGCAGACTGTATGGAATAGGACTAAATGATTAATAACAGCTTGAACAGCTAGATTAGATGTCTGGAAGTAGGCTCTGCAATTGCATACTGAATCTTCCCATTGCTGCCTATGGAAATATGCTATTGAATTGATGATAAACTCTTTTGACTTTTGACATGAAACATGCAAGTCGTTGAGGATCTAATTTTTTTAACTAGGGTGTTTAAGTAATTCAATAATCCTTTCTCTTCACTTCTAAGTTAATTTGTGGATCTGCGTAAGAGTTTATATTAAAAAAAATGGCAATAACATTTAATTATTTAGCATATTAAATGTCAGACAAAACAATTTTGCCTCTGTTTTGAAAATGATAAAATACTACATTTTTCAGTGTTCCACTACAAAATATATATTAATGTGCTTTTTTTTAAATTATTTAAGGAGAAGCCAATTACAGTGATTCCCTAAAGTTGCTAAAAAGTAAATACTCGTAATTAGTTGAAACATTTTGACATGATTACTGCAATTGTGTAGTATTGTACAAATTATATAGGTAATTACTTTGTAAGAATTATTACAATGGCATAACTGTGGGAATGCTATTTCACTGCTGTTAAATGTAATATTTTCATTGTTTTTCTAACTTTGACCATTCTGTATGTTTCACTATGTAGTTTATATATATTAGTATTTGGTGAAAAATTAAGGCAATCAAGTTCTGAAGTATAAATGTGAGAATTTCTTATGCATATTTTGGAAAAAATTCAACTTGAGCTTGCTTTTCATTGGCACAGTGTTCACTTGGCAAGGAGGTTACTGCAGCTAGAAAAGCAAAACTCATTGCTTGTAAAAGATCTGGAACATCAGAAGGAACAAGTAACACAGATTTCACAAGAGGTAAATTACTGCTACAAAAAAAATCAAATCTGTAGAGACTATAAACATTGCAGAACAGCTGTTCATAAAATGAAATATTTTCTAAACAGTGTTTATTATCTATTTGATGTAAAAAAATTGCCTCATAATTAACCAGAACTCTATGTTAGATGTTTTCAAATAAGTTTATATTGTATTTTGAAACAAAGATGGAAAGTGGGATTACTTTACAGGCTAAACAAGAATGTAATCCAGACAGACAACGTTCTGATTTCTGAACAGAAGACCAGCTAGCCGAACTAGTTTGTTCTCTTCGATAGTTAATTGTTCAATGAATACCTCATTACTTTTTACACAGCTCTTCTCTTAAATCACTTTTGAAGATACTTCTCTAAATTCTTTTCTACATTGTTCAGTTCTTGAGTCTTTTGAATATACAAATCTAGGGAATGTTTAACATACGCTGCTTTTTAAAAAAGCTAAAATTAGTCTTTTTTTTTACTTTGCTACAATGAGTTTAATTTCATGATCTTTTAATATTCTGTATATAATACCTGAAATCACATATTACATTGACATGGAGAAAAAACACTAAACAAAACTCAGCTTGAAATCTCCCAGAATTAGGGCGAACTAATTTTTTGAAATATTTTAAGATTGTCTTCTAAGTTTTTCTCATAGGAACCAAAGAACTTCTAGATTTGCTATTAGATATTGCCACCATATGGAATTTCTAGGCTGACTGTTTCAGGAATGTGGTTAACAGTTTGATTTTTTTAAAGCCATGGTAATTCTAAATTAGGATAACTACACGCAAGTACTTCCCAGTGCAACTACTTGCATTTCCTACATATTTTAAAATTACATGAATTTTATATATTTTGTATGTGTAGATTTATGATTATATATATTATTTCAGTGAAAGATACATGAACAGTGAAGTTCTTGTATGTTTGGGGTTTTTTTTTAACCAATAATGCAATTTATTTGGATTCTTCTTAAGTAGTAATTTGTATTTGACTAAAACATATCTTTCAAATCTTCTTGAATTGAAGACATCAAGAGATTTGTGAATCTAATGTTATCCTTTGTATTTTTCTCTATCAGTATTCTTTCACTATTGTTAATAAAATCTATGCTTTATTTCCCACTTCAGTCTGTCTGGTTTCCACTTCAATACATTTCTTCTTACCCGCACTGGTTTTATATTTGCTTCTAGATCACTGATGAAAGGTTCAGTACCAGTGACCTTAGTTCAAATTCCTGCAAAATTCCACTAGAAGACCTTCACGTCGTTTTTTGTTCTCCCATGAGATGTCATGTAGCCCTTTCTCGATCTTTTATCATATAGTTGTATATTTTAAATCAGAATGTCATCCAGTACGAAGTTAAATGTCTTGCAGATAGCTAACGCACAGCTACTAAGCCTATTAACATCAAACTCATAAGGTTAAATAAAATCTTTGAAGACCTGTTTTCTATTAAACTCATGTCTGGCATTCAGGTCTGAATGCTTCATCAGATTTCTTCCCCCCCCCCCCCCCCTTTTTTTTTTTTAATTTTTTTTTTAATTTTGCATATGATTATGGGCCATTTTGTTTGATAACAATTACTTAAGCCATTCTGCTTGCCATCCTTCAATAAGTGCAAAAAGAGTTTACGCTTGTTGTTAATGGACTGGAAAATAGTTCATCATTCTCATGTTATACAAACTGATCATCTGACTTCTTTTCAAACAGAGGGCAAAAAAATTTATTGAAAACTTCTGTGTTTTCTTCAGCATTATATACATTTTTACCATATCTCTGCCATAATGGGTTCTACTGTTTCTAGGATTTATTGGCTCCCATTTTTTTCATTCTAAGAGTTCTATGCCTGCTAGTACCAACTTTCACCTTGAAGTTGTAGCTCCCATTGTAAATTTTCTGTATTTCATGTTTTATACTGATTGCTATCTATTATCTTTCTTTATATAGTTAAAGTTCTTAAACTTCTGTTTGCTGTCTTTACTGCATCCCCTGAGCTAAGATAGATTGTTACTCCAAACTGTTGTCAGTCTCGAATTTTCTTTTTTAAGAGCAAAACAGAGATCCTGTAGACTACAGCATGCTCAGGTAGCCCATTATTATTCTTTTGATTGACAGTTTGTTCAGTTGTCTAGATGAAATCTAGAACATGGATTGAAAGTTGATGCCAAAGTGAGTGGACTAACTTTTCTTTTGAACTTGGATTAAATACTGGTATTTCACTGCAGTATTTATGATACAATTTTTTTTTAAGCTCTTTCAAAGAGGGAGGAAAAGAAAAAGATTGCAATAACTACAATGGATGCTCTTTCTAAGATTCTTTTTTTGGACTGTCCTCAACCAATTGCTGTTGAGCTTTATAGAAAGGAATCATATTGATCTTCTGGAAAGTCCAGCATTGCCAACAAGAAAATACTGACTTCTCCATAATTTCATTCATTTGATGGAATTCTGATATAACGTGTCTCCTTGAAAGTTTGAACCCTACGGAAAAGCTCAGCTGCTGAAAAAAACTTGTCAGTCTTCAGTTAGTCCCATTATAGTTTGTCAGGCTTTATTTAACTGCAGGATCCTATCTATTTTCAGGCCGTGATAAAGCATTAGAAAATAATTTTCTTTTAAAGTGCTCTTTCTGTTGCTTTGTATAGCAGTGACCTGCAGTGTTAAAGTAGGTATTGAGACTTACTTCGTACTACAGGCTTGTTGACCATGTCTAGGACAAACAGAATAAAGGAATTCTCATGACCTGATCCAAGAAAGATCCTCAGCTAGCAATAATCAGTTTATTGCCTATGCAACTCACTTCGTGTTACTCTCACTTTAAGTGAGTGGAAGGCTATATCAGCTCCTGCAAAGTAGTGCAATTACTACATTTAGTATCCAATCTAAATTTTGGAATGAATTCACTTTGTAGAGGTTTTGAACAATAGTGACAGAAATGATGGATAGACAGTCTCTTGTGTCAGGAAGGCCAGTGTGGTCTTTGGGTGACTTAAAAAGCAAATACTGCATCAGTATACAGTAAAAGTGATATCCTAAATAAAGAAATTTACAAAGCTGATATATTTGGCTTGCTGCTGAATGACTTTTTTGAGCCTTCATCGTGACATTGTATTTGTGCTTTTCGTATGCCTCAATTGAAACATTTTTACCAAAAGCAGGTTTACATCTCACTCTGAAGGACAGAGTATAGATCAAGCTGAACAATGATGAAATCCTTCAGCTTGGTAGAGAAGTCAATTTGGGGATAAATAATAAAAGTCCAATTGCAAGGTATTAGTTCTATCGCTTAAAAGAATGACACAGAAATACTTAAGTAAATCTTGTACATTAAGGCAGAAAGAAATCAAAGTTGCTTACAAAAAATAATGCTTTTGCTCAATGATAATGCTTAATTTATAATGTGTGTATATTAGTAAAATTGATCCATTAAATGCATTTAATGCTTAATTGATTACAGTTTAATGACAACCTCTTTTAAGTTTATAGAATCAAACAGGCAGCAAAGCACCACCATAGAGAGGGAAGGAATAGCCTTTTTTTGTAGCAGTAGCATGCTTTTTAGCTGATAAAGTTAGCAAGTTAACAGACGACTTAGCAGCATCAAACCAAACTTACAATACCTCACTTGTCCTTTCCCACTGAAGTACTTTAATTCTTATCAGTGAGAACAATGAGGAACTTCACACAGTGGTGGATGACAGCATCCTTTGAAAGTTCTTAGGCTATCAAGAACAGGATTCCAAACAAGATCAGTTGGTAATTTTCTCCTGTAATGGTAGCCTCAAAGCTTTATACTGCAATTTTTAGACCATCCTAGAGATTAGTACTCCATGTCTTGGAATTGCCTGTTTGTCATGATGCTCTATTGTCTACCTGAAAGAGATCTTTTTTGATAGCTTGTGCTTTTAGAAAAATAATAGCTTTTTTAATTGCTTATCAATTTATTGAAGATAATTAGTTTCTTCAAGAAGATGATTGCCTGGGGTTTTTTTTTACTTTGCTACAATAAACTTTGAATTTCACTGTGGACTAAAACAGGTATTTCCTGAAGGAACTAAAGGGTTTAAATAATACTTTAAGATTTGCATTAATTTGAAGAAGTGCAATGTTATTGTCGCCCTTTCAGTAAGGCAAGCAAAGCTTTCTCTGTATTCTGTTTTCTAATAACCATAAACCATTACAAGTTCTTAGCACATTTGACAGACTGTAGAGGGCAGAAGTAAAACTACAACAAAAATGGAATCGGAGAAAGAAGGAAAGACAGTCTCATGTTTTGAAAATGGTGAATAGGAGAAAAATCTGATTTTAGGAAAGTCCAAAATATTATTTAAGTGGGCTAGTTCTATAGGAAGGGGGTTTTTTTCCCCTGCTCGTTTGGAACAACACAAAACAGGACAGCTGGCTCCTGAGTCTGATTTGGCAAATGCAGGTTGTTTAATCTATTGAGAAATTTTATAAACTAATTGGAAAGCTTAACCATTTTCCATTGAATTCATTCCATTAGACCTGTTTGTGTCTAAACTTTAAAATATTTTAATTCATTTTTTAAAGAATCTAGCTGATATTCTTGACTTATATGTACACCAGCTGCTGAAACTGCTAAATCTTGATGTGCGATCTTAATTCTGTATGTATTTTAGTGAATGATCTTGTTATATTGCTGAAGATGCAAGCCATATCATGCAAGCTTTTTAAACATAGTGATCCTATTTTTTTCAGGGAATAGGGCTAGAAAGGTTTATTTCCTATTTAGGGTATGACGTTTTATACTGCTCTAGTAAACATCCTGTAGGATTTCACTATTCATATACTTGATTACAGGAAAGGGAACTTTTTTCTTTCATAATTACTGTGGTTTTATTTAGATTCAATTTCTGAGCTGAAAATTCCATTGTAGTAGAATACTGTTTTAAAAAAAGTCACTTGTGGTCAGTAAGGTGAACAAACAGAGTCCTTGTCTATACTAATCTTTTTCATCAATAGAAGCTGTTACATTAAAACTCTTGAAAATGCAGATTAGGAAACTGTAGAGAGCGGTAGCATGATTGCAGTGAAAATACCGTATAATTAGAACAAAGTGAGAGGATAATGTACTAGATAGTAATTTGAGGGTAGTTTGTTTCTTTTTTTTTTGTTAAGTAACAGGTTTGGGGTTTATATTATTATGCAATTGGTAATAATCAATAATATAATAATTCAGTAATAATCAGGTAATTATGCTTTATAAATTATAAGATTTATAGTAGTAATACTTCTTTTTGTGGCAGCTTGACAGAGCAAATTCTTTGTTGAATCAAGTACAACAGCCATACAAATATCTCATTGAAACTGTGCAACAGAGAGATTCTCAAATAAGTCTACAGAAAGAACATATCGCACAACTTGAAAAAGATGTCAGGTAAGTAAAATGACTGTTTCTTTATTTCAAGCTGAAAGTAAAATCACTTATGTGTTTATCATTAGAAAACAATTATGTTATTGGCCATTAAGTAGGAGATGTTGACACTCCATCATTGACTAAGTCCAGTCTTTATGCTGGAACTCTAGCATCTGTGATTTCTCTCATACTATCAAAAGAGAGGCTTTAGGTTTGGAAAAGCAGCAATGACAGTCAGGTTTAAAGTGAGTTCGGAGTTGAGAAGAGCTCTCATGAAGTAGAGGAAAGTTCAGAAGAGTAAAAGGAAAGAATGGCACCCCAGAGGTACAAAAGTAAAAATAAAGAAATAAAGTCAGAGAAAAATTATAGACTAGTCCACCAGCAAAGAGTATTTTGGGCATAACTCGAGCAGACTTCCTCTAGCAGACACTCTCTGATTTGGTGTTATATCCAGCTGTCAGAACTCTGGCCGCTGAGCAACTTCCCACTATCTTACAGCTTTATAAACTATGTTTAACATCTGGTTCACAAGTAAGCTGTTATAAAATAATCTGCCCCTTGATTTTCAGGGAAGTCGATAGCTGTGTCCCACTGCACTACAGAAGAATTAGCATTTTAACTATTAGGTGTTTATGTGGTATCTTGGTTTACGAAACACGTACGGTAACAATTATGAAGCATTGATGTGATTGTATTATGAAGCAATTACATGAAAAATACAGGTTTTTTACAACAAATCTGCTGAAGCAATGAAAATAGAAGAAGTAGGACTCACCATAGCGAAATACTTTATCCTACATACTGGCTTACATATGTATCTATTCAGAGTGTTTTGATGGTTTGCAGTAGTATTTGTTATGTCTTGAGGAATACCTAAAACTTCTTATTATCCAAGTAAATCTATACATAAATCAATACTTTTATAAATAAACTGAAATTTTCATTCGTACTTCCTGACAAGATGTCTTCCACTGGGCTTAACTTTGATTCAATAAGAATAGGTATTTTTTTTTATACCAGAATCAAGTGTTTTTAATATTTTCCTAGACTTGATATATTATAAGAAAAACTTCAAAGGTAAATTATATTTTTTCCAGGAGATGAAAAATCGCAACATTCGCTATATGCAGGATCTTACTTTCCAATTACGAAAAAAATCATCAAAGTATTGGTCACTAGCAAATTAAGTTTTTAGATTACAATAACATGAAAACGCCTTTCATTATTCACATACTAGTCCAAGAGTTTCTCAAAAGCTAGGAAAAAAGGGAGTAAATATGTGAGGTAATTTCTGAAAGTGTTTGCTTCATGCCTTTAAAATATATAACAACTTAAATGCATTATTAACATTGATTCTCTTGAGGTTTTATGGCTCATTACAAATAATCTGTATGCCCAGATATTCTTCCTAAATTTAGCCTACAACTTAATGCACCTAATTTAGGAACTTAGTCAGGTCAGCTTTCCTTAGTAGTTCATGGAGGAAGTGGCATCTTCAAAAAGCAATTCAGATTTTGGATGGAGTGAGTCATTTGCTAGAGATGCCTGTTACTTTCCTTTAACTATAAAGGCAATTTTTGGCATCTTAAAGTGCCTGAGGTTAAGGAAGAAAATGGATCTGCACCACAGTGCAAGCATTCACGGTAAATATACCAGCAGTACTCTACTGTGGTGAACTGGGGTGTGCTCACCACTACTCCATGTTTCTGTAATGAAAGTGTGGTCTGACAAAAAAATATTTTTATCCTTAATGGTTTTATAGCAAAAAAGTAACACTTACTTTGCACGTCAAATGTTTTTGTAAGAAGTTTTTTCCTGTAGTTTCCAATATTCCTTGTAAACTAAAAATAACTATTATTCCCTTATCACAAGTTTGCCTCAACTGTGCCGTAGTTTCATAGGCCAGTGAAATTCTTGGAAACAGCCTAATGTCTTAGGGCTTTTGGTACATATCAGTAGTCTCTAATTTTGCTATTCCTAACTCCACATTTTAAAAAAAGTCCTAAATTGTTAGTTGATATTCCGTGGAGCACAGGAGAAATCATAATCTGGTATCAAATTGATAATGTTGGTCCTTTGCTTTCCCATAAGTGAGAGGAGGTTAGAGGAAGGGATTTCTTACCAGAGGACCATTACATTCCAGCCATCTTTTGTTATGAGGGTAGCCTTTTGGAATCTGCTGATGGCAGTTTTAAATTAAAATATCCCTTAGGTGATTTCAGATTACTTTGGGGACCAGTCTAGCTCCCAGCTATTCCAGAACTGAATCAGAATGGGATTTAAGTAAATTAATGATAATCCCTACCAAATATATGCCAAGTGAAGCTCTGCTGGATCAAAAGATTTAGACCACTATTCCTATCCGTCTTAGTTTATTAAACAGCATTTTGTTGGTTGGTTTGTGGAATATTTTTGAGAGGATCAGTTCAGAGAATTAATGTTCCTCAAGGAGGGCCCTAAATTCTGCAGATAATGTTGGTGCTCTTAGAAAAGTAATAGTGAATTCATGGTATATGAAGCCTGGTTTCTCTGTATCTCAGAGCTAAGGGGAAAAGTTAATATTTGTAAAGCCATTTCAAAATGAAATGGTTTTTTTCAAATGTTACCTATAGTTAATACTGCAGTTCTGCAGTAGCCTCTTTGAGGTTTAATTTATGCTAAAGTTACACAAAGTACATTATTCTTTTTTAAAATTTTACATACAATACATGCATTAGTTTTATTTCTAAAAAGCAATATCACAAGTACCAGCTAACAGAAAAATAATGTTCAAATTCTTGTTTTCAGGCAGACCTTTAAAAATACTAGTGTTTTTTTAATATATTTTTTTAAAAATCTCATATTTGAGTAGCAGATTGTAGAAAAATTAACATAATGTTGATATCCCTGCACCCTGACAATCAAGACTGAGTACTTAGTTTTATCCTCACAGCTGCCGTGTGCTTGATCGTGCTTTTCTTTCCTTTGCATTTAGTGTGCAGAATCTATGGTGGAGTGTTCTTTTCATGTTGCATTTTTATCTCATCTGCTCAAGAGAGTTGGTTCTGCATTATGTAAATCATGGATTCCCTAAGTAGAGCAGTCACATCTGTGTATCAGTGCCAGTGTTCTCTATCACCTCTCACTTAACTTGAGTGTGGACGGATCAGTGAGGACTAATTTGCAAGTGAATTTACTTTTTCAGACTTAATCCATAATTGGCTTCTGTGCACAGTGATGATGGCCAATAATCTTTTTAGAACGTAGTCCTAGTGTGGTTAGGTTCCAGCAGACTTCCCAGGATAATGAATCAGTACTTTCTTGCAACCTTATAAATGTTTTGCAGCAACCTGCAGTGCTTTGTATTTCCTTGTCTATTGAGAAGGCTGTTGGTTGTTACTGGATGTGGTTTTGATTCTCTGATGAAATCGACAGTCTTGATGAAATCAGCACAAGAGGAGGGCAACTATGAGGAAGGCTATCTATGACAGCAGTCTCCTTAGTTTGGGCTGTGGGTGTTCTTGTGACATATTTTTATGGATTTTTCACAAAATGGCCTAAAGTGACTCATAATGTGGTCCTTTGACAGGCAACAGATGTTTTCAGGATTCTCCATACTGCATCATTCTATGAAAGTGTCATTTCTGACAGCAGTTATTTCCACAAGAGGAGTGGGACAGATTCAGGTAGATCATTTTGATACAGTACTCTTGAGAAGTCCTGCAGATCCATCTAAGTTTCCTTCCAATGTGGTCTTCAAAGTTCACTTTAACCAGAGCAGCTTACATGCCTTCATCTTTAAGCATCATACCTCTAGACCTAAGGCTGTCTTTCAGACCCTCCATATCAAAATGTCTTCCTCACTTGAAAGCACTATTCAAATAGTACTCAAGGTTGCTTGTGTCAGTAGCTGTCAAACTGAATCATAGAATGGTTTGGGTTGGAAGGGACCTTTAAAGATCCCCTAGTTCCAACCCCCCTGCCATGGGTAAGGACATCTTCCACTAGATAAAGCCTCATCCAACCTCTTCTTAAAAGGAGAGGAAAAGTCAAAATAGGTGCCAGACTAAATCAAGGCCTTAAAGTAGTATATTCCACCAGAGCTGGAGATACTTCAGTGGCTTGCTGAGAAGTGTGTCTGTTCTGGACATCTTTCACACAGCTCTGTGGATCTTTAGCCATACTAAGAACTGCAAGAGCTTTTGTAGTTGGGGTAAATGCTTAGCTGACCAGCTGTCATTGCTGTTAGTTATTTGCATGAACAACTTGGGGACCCATCTCCAGGTTATTACAGGTGTGTGACGTTACTGCTTAGATTCAAGTGTGAAGGCACAAGTGTATTACCGCTCAAAGATAAAAGGAGAGGTTGTTCAGGGGTAATCAAAGCTCTGTCAGATGTGGCCCACACGTATGTTCACTACCACTCTCCTTCCCATCCCCTTAGAATTCTCCCAGGCAGGCCAGGGGCTGTGCCGGCACTTGGCCGTGGAGAGAACTGAGATGGCCCTGGGAGCAGAACACTTCATGAGCTTGTGGACTGAGCGATGCACCTGCAGATACGCTTCGGATACAAAACCTCTGGTCTTGAGTGACAGGGCATCTGCAGGGTGAATTTATAGGTGGTCCACATATCTCAAAATATTCTGTTAAGTAACCTCTCATTTATGTTAGTCCACATAGCACTCTCGTTAGTAAAAGTAAATAGTGATGGTTAATAAGAGCAGTGGTATGTATGAGGATGACTCCTTCCTACTATAGAAATCTCTCTAGCATACAGTTCTTTAACCAGGAATAAAACATCACATTTAGCACTCCTTTTGAAAAGAAATGCCTTCTAACTATGTCATGCTGTGGGAAAACAAATCTCTGAATTTCATTCTTATGTGTGTAGTGAAGTAATTGTAGTTTTAGTACATAATTTTCTGCTAAAAACATCTAGGTTTATAAATAACTGGAGACATTAAACAGGACTTCATTCATAAAGAGAGGGTATTTGTTTTAAATGCAGTTACTCAAATTTCTCAGCACCAGTGACTGGTTTTAAAAGTGGTTCGCTTACCCAAAAGCACTCCTCAAAAGCCTAACTGTGTGGCAAATCTAGAAGCAGTACAAGGATTTTGCTCACTAAGAAGTTATGTACTGAAATGTTCCTTACCTAAACATTTTGGGTTCTCTAATTGCCATCCAAACGTTATAAAGCTCAGCGTGCAGTGTTAGCTGAGTTTTTTCCCATCACAGAATGGGCAATGAGCTTTTTATGAGAATGTTACCATTCTGTGAAATATGCATCATCTATTCCAAAACTACTACAGTTTACCTGAGAAATGCTCCAAACAAGATTTGTAGAAATACATATTTCATTTTTTTCTACAAATGAATGTTTTCTGACCTGTATTACAACTTCTAAAAAGTTGTTTGGGTTTTCTTTTTTTTTTTTACAATTTGAAAAAGTAATTTCTTTTCAATTTGGACACTCTCCTAAATGCCTTGAAAAATCTGATCTGTGGTTATTTAGCTGCACAATGAGAGATTACAATTTCTTCATGTATTGTCTCTTCTAAAGAGCTTTTATTTGCAGAATTTTTTATACCTCTCTCTAACTACATGACTTAAAAAGAAAATTTGACTTAGACTTTAAAAATTAGCTGTCTGCTCTGAGCTATTCATCTGTAATTTGCAGAGAAGGGATAGGTGCAGTATATGCTTATATTATATATTCAGCTATATGTACAAAACCTTCACATATACTATTTCTGTGTTCGATTTTTTTGATGGTATATGAACATAACAGTTTTCAACTTCATCATGCTGTAACATGAAATTAACAGAAAGGCAGAATCCTTATTTCTTACAGCATTTGGGGTACACAGTTGACTGAAAAAGAAACTTACTGTTTTTTCAAACTGAATAGAAGTAATATTAAAAACTAGTAACATATAAACCCATGTTTATTTAGTGTGTCCAGCATAAGCATATTATCCAGAACATCTAATAATAGAAGCTTCTGAACAGGATAGTAGCTAGTATATTTACACCAGAGTTTTGAAAGATGGCTTAATTGCCCAAATTCAAAAGGCTTTAGAAGTCTGAGACTGGGAAATGTTAGTCTCCATTCTCCAGAAAAATCAAGTCACCTAAAAATGTCTGTCTTGTGATATCCAAGCTACCTTTGCTTTAGATCCTGAGTAAAGTGAAACAAAACAAGCCAGTGGTTGCTGTGAGCAATGTGTATGTATACGACAAGTGTATTCCATGGTAAGTCCTGCATTCCTGGTACCTGGATTCATACCTGGCTAGGTTTTGAAAGCATGATGGAATGAAACTGAATCTCCACCCAGACATTTTGGTTTCTTCTGGAAACCCAGGCACACAGAAAAAGGCAGGAGCTGCATTACTTTTCGGTTAATTCTCCAACCTGGACTTTTGGGGCCACAGTTATATGATGTATCACAAAGGGCGCCTTCTCCACACTTGGGATGGAGCAATCAGTGACCAGGACTGTGGAGCACAGCATGATCTACACTTGCCCTGCAGTGTGAAAACAGCCATTTGTGCTGTTAAGCAACTCCAGGGATATTAGATCATTTCAACACAGTCCATTTCTCCCAAGCGTTCACATGTTTTCACCCCAGGACAAGTCACTGGAAGACTTCTTTTAATGTTTAGTACTGCAGTACTTTAATACATCTCTATATCATGAAAACTTAAAAGTATGCTTAGTTAAAGATGGTCAAGAAGATCCTGTCTCTTCAGATGAAAGTTATAAACCTTGAGCTCAGGTGTGAGAAGCTGGTTTGTCTAGACTCATAGATTGTGGTTTCAGAATCATAGTAAGACAGTTAAGGCACTCCATCACCAAGTGAAGCAGTTTCATCCTTACCTACAGCTGTGGGTTTCCACTGTACATGGAAAATTAAGTTGTTTTGGTGATCCACATGAAAAATAGCCTTTAAAAAGACTCCAGCTTCCATCCAGTTCAGTGAAGTGACCTACTTACGTGGTCACAAATTTTCTAGTACCAACACAAAGAGCAGGTTACCAGTAGCTGGTTAGGGAAGGATGATCTTTCAGCAGCAGTTTTCACTTAGGTCAGCTGAAACAAACTGTAAAGCTGCTCTCTGTTTTGTTACACTGCTAATTAAAACTGGATTAGGTTAAACTACTGTTTGATGGAAGTGTAGGGTAGTTTAAAGCTAGAACCTCCTCGACTGCTGATATCCAACATGCCTGTTCAGAACGTTTTCATAACAGGGACTGAAATGGTCAGTCATCTTCCCAAAATTGACCTTGTGAAGGTATTTCTGCTTTACTTGGTCATTATAGGTGTGAAATTATTATTGTCGTGTCTAGTAACTGCTTTCTCACTCTGTTAAATGTATATATGCCTCTTTTTCAGAATTCTTTCAGAAATATATGAATTATTTCCTTGTATTTGCAATGATGAAAAAGCATAACTATTGCAAAACTTCTAAATCTGAAGTCTGCATGTGCTTTGGTAATTCTGTATTCATATGTATGACAGAAAACACATCAAGTGCTACTGAATGATGTGGTAGTCTAATTCCTGTATTTGACCATAAACAAAGAAAATTAGAACTGCTCCACATGGATCAGTCATGTCATATTGTTTCAGAAGGTATAACTAGAATAGGTTCTGTTCTGTAGATGAAATTGAACCTTGAACATGAATTTCTGGTTTAGTCATGAACACTGATGTTTATGCTTATTCAGTACACTATTTAAGGCATAAAGGAACTTTTATTATTGCCTCTCTAATACGTTTGTGAGTCATTCTCTAAAAGGATTGGTTTATGCTGTTAGAAAGTACAGAAATCCAAGAAAAAAATGACGTAAGTTACAACACATAAACCCAGGAAAAAAATAGTACAGCAATTTCATCATGATTAAAAATGTCACAGAAAGCAAAATTCTTGAAAATATTAAAATATCTTTGTAGTTTTTCATAAATGTTACTACTTTCCTTTTAAATAACTCAGACAACTAAGCAATTTGGCCAAAGCATACAATTTTTCTGAGAATTAATGAATGCCTAGAAGGAACTGACAGTCATAATTTACAGTACAGAGCTTGCAAGGAACTGCCAGAAAATCTCTGGGGCAAAGGATGATGTTGCTTATTTGAAACAAGCAGATGATACACAGCCAATTAAAGAAAAGGTTGATTTGTTTGGTTGATCATTTCTGGATTAAATACTGGGAATATTAAATAATTTGTGTTTGCAACACATGTAATTACTCCATTCCATTTATAACATTTTAATACATTTGCTTTTGAACTCCTGACCTGTATTCAGTATTACATATTTACACTCTATATGCAGAATTGCATTTTGCATAGTTGTTGATTTATGTTATAGTTTATATTGTACAGCCTATTTAGTTAAGTCATGATAATGACATATATAACATTGGTCTTCCAAGAAAATCTCTGTAGCTGTTTTAACAAACTAGTTTATATACTGGCATTATGCATTCATTAGTCTGAAGTTTATTGTTGGAAACTGATGTTGGGGCTAAATATGAAATACCTTTAACTGTATTAGAATTACTGCCTGGAATCAGAATGCGTACGCTAAACATTTCAAATGTTCATATTCTATAACTAAAAAAACAAAGAACGATTAAAGTTAAACTTGACATTGTGCTATACAAGAATGCCTTCATGCTAAAACAGCTTTCGTACTTGGTTCACAGGACAAACTTGATCCCGTGCATTATCCTGGAATATAAAATAAAAAATCGCAAAAATACATTTACAATTTCTGCAGAAACTACACAGTGAAAAGGGAGAGCTGGATGTTGTTTTTCCTTGTATTTGTTACTTTCAAAATTCCAAATACAGTAATATAAAAAGAGGTGATACTGAGAGAACAGTGTGTGCTGCTACTGGTGATGCATACAACAAAGAAATCCAAATTTTGATATGGAAGTTGAGATATAAGGAGCCTTACTTTGCTTATAAAATGAGCTCATTTTGCCTAGAAGAAATCAAGAGATATTAACAGAAGATTCTGATAATTTAAATTACCCTTCAGAGAATCAAAAAAGCCTCCCCATATTTTATGAAGATTTTGAATAGCATTTCTGTTTGACTAAAATAAGATTTTGTATGTATCGGTACATCCAGGCCCACTTATACAAATTCCAGTTCTTTAACATAGAGAAGGATCTTTTGATACAATTACTTGAGCAGATTTTCATTGTTGCCAGTATTTAGCTTTAGAAAATGCATGTTTCAGCCAGAATATAAGATTAAAAGAGATTATCTGTTGCTATTACTGCATTTCCTATCCTCTTTCTACCAGTCTTTTAAATAAAGAAAAGACAGCTTTGCTGCGTGTCAAGAATCAAATGGCAGCAGATTTGGAGAGACTTCTAAATCACCGTGAGGTAATCTTCCTGCTTTAGCATTCCTACCATAAGTGCGTTTTTTCTCTCCTCAGCCTTACCTCATGGGAAAAAAATGGTTTACTTTAGTTTGATTTGTTGGGGTTTTTGTCTGTGTCATTTTCAGAAACACAGGTGATGGTGTCTGTCAGGCACTCAGGAGGCTCTCAGTTGCTAAATTCTCTCTCATGACTTAGTCTCACTGTTCTTTCTTATGTCAACAGACATGCCTTGCGAAGTGTTTAGCGTTTGCAAGCTTTTAACAAGTATTTAGATAAAGGTGATGAAATTGATACACATGTAATCTGCAAGGCCTGCATGTGCCACAGTATCTCTCCCTGCTCTCCAGTCATTGAGACTAAAAACCTGGACAAAGCATTGCACAATTCATTTCCATCTGAGTTTCTTTTCAACTCCAAAACAGGACGGTAGTCACACAGGTGTCCTCCAGACAAGAGTCAGGGTACTTCTGTATGTACTTACCCGAGTTTCATCCAAGCAAGGAGTCAGGGTGCTGCTGGAATACACTCTCAGATCTGAAAGTATGCAAAAATCTTGCCATTTAGACATAAATGCTCTATATGGGGATTCCTAAAAGGCTTTTGTCAAGATTTCTCTCTAAACATCTTAAGAGACTAACGTGTCATGGAGTATGAGAGAAAATCTTTCTGCAGATTAAATGTCTGAAACAAAGGATAGAAATAAAGAAAGTTTACCGAAGGAGTCCCCTACACAAATGATCTGAAAAAGGGTGAATAGTAATACGGAAAGTTTGCTGAAGCTACAGAATACTGAAGGTATAAAACCAAAAGCTGACCTTGAGCAGCTGTTAAATGATCTCCCAGAGCTGCTGAATGATATGGCAAGGATTTGCAGAGAAAATACATCATTAATGAATCAAAAATTATGAATGTGAGGAAAACCAACACATGTTATATATATGCAGTGATGGGACCTAAATAGCCACGTACCTGTTCAGAAAGATCATCACGAAGTCATTATATCAATAGTTCTCTGAAAATATCCTTTCAATTCTCTGACTGGGAAGAGAGGAGAAGATGGGGAGATTCCTTTCAAGGAATCTACAATTCCCCTAAATTATCCTGTCTGAGATTGCATTATCACTCATTCTAATACCATTATTTCCACAGAAAACTGACTATCCGTGCACCTCTTGAAGTCCTCCCACTCCACCTCCAAAACTGTTCTCCTCCATCTCCTTTCCTTGCTATTCCCCCAAATTCCCTTCTTAGATCAGTAAACCAAAACCCATGTCAGGAATTGGTCCAAACCAGTTTGTCTCTGCTGACCAGTTACGAACCCATTTTTTGTTAGAACCAAACCAAAACAATTTCACAGACAGCTGCATCTAAGTGAGCCTCAACTTTAGTGAAAATTGTACTAATCCTGTTCCCTGAGTGTGCATCTCAAATGTGAAACACCTTAAAAGTAAAAAGAAAACAAGTTCTTAAGCTGTTTACTTTCTATGCTGAATTGCACTGCGTGTTTGTCTGATGCAGTTTCCTCCTAGGATAGTTTTTGCATTTAACTCTCTGAATTGATTTGTAGTGCTTGTGAAGTTCCATGCATAGAAATTAAAATAGTCTGATTACAGAAGAGAGTAATTGAACATGCTTCCCCAAACTGCAGGTGTCATTGATCTGGCAGGATCATCTGTAGGTGCATTAGAAGTAATCATTTGATAGCTCTTATTTCTGATGTCTGTACCCACAGCGTATACTTAAATTTCACATTCAAGACTGAGATGAAGGCAAATGTTCAGTTTGGGTTGTATTTGAGTTTGCTTTTTTTCTTTTGGGTTTTGGTGATTGTTTGTTTATATGAGACCCACTGGTCTCTATTAATGTAATGGAAAACATTTAAAGCATTTCTAGATAATTTATAAGCCTTACCATTATATTAATGCATTATCATATCATTATGTTAATGATATGAAAAATACTCTGAGGGAACATGACTTAATTGTATAAACATGTAGTGAATTTTCTGAATTTCCAATATGATGTGCCCTTGGCAGGCTAATTTCAAATTAATTTCTTTCAAAATTTCCTGTTCCTACTCCTCCTCTCCCAAGTAGTGCTGCTGCCAAGTAGTTATGCTCTCAAAGTAGTTATGCCTTGGGTGCCTAGTTTTAGTAGTGTCATATCAACCAAGGTGCATTGCAGCTGATTAAAATCGGTAGGAAGTGATAAATGAAGGTAAAATTTAACAATGTTTTATAAGAAAACTAAAAAATTTCTGCCTCAAAGCTATGTGACATTGTTTACATCCAAACAACACTAGCCCCTGTGAGTAGCCTCATAAACTAATCCTGATACGCAGCAGTTTGCTGCTTTGTGTCATTTTGCCACTTAAAATTTTCAAACTGTGGCAAACAATGCAAGCAAGGCTGAGTGAGACAGGCTTTATAAAGAAGAAAGCAAATACTTGAGTCTGAAACAGACTTCGTCTTGAATGTTCCTCTTACCCTGGATGTTAGAAATTGAGCAAATATTTCCAAAATTGTTACTGTTTTGTTAAATTTCTTTTTATATCTGTTAAAAATAGGCCATATTAGTCATATTGTTTTACCTAACAGTGATAATGCTTTTTTCAAGTTGCCTATGCAGAAAAGTATATAAATATTGAAAAAGAAACATTAGAAGTTGCGTGTTTGGGGGAAGAAAATTATGAAATGCCAATACAACACACAAAAAAACCCTAAGAAACACTAAAATAAGCTAAAGTTTTTTTAGGAAAATGTGTGAAAATAACAAGTCGCTTTTGTGTGCGTGTGTGTGTGTATGTTTAACTTTTGTCATTTGTGTTTATTCCTAATGCAGCCTTTTATTTTTTTACTTTTAATGCAGACCTCTTCCAGTAGTTTTACAGTTTATTGATTCCTCTAAAAGGCAATTATCTCATGTATTGAAACCTTTGTACAGGATAGGACAACTTGGTTTACAGTGAGTTAGTCTTCAGCTAAATTTTTTTGCCATCTTAATAAAAAAGTTAAATATGCAGTAACATCAAAATTTCACAGTAACTATCCCTGCTAATAGAAAAAAAAAACAATCCAAATTTTCTAATCTTGGGTTAGTAAAGACTTAACTTCATTTAGACGAGGTATGTGTTTTTAAATAAAAGTAACATGCAATGTGTAAACACAGATTTATGCAATTTGAAAAAATATGAATTACATGTTTATGTGTTCTGTACGTGCTATCATGTAGTATGATTACTATCAGTCTTGTTGAGTCATTGCACATACTAAACTGTCGTGTCTTGTTAGGAATTACCTTGTTGCCCTCATGTTTGCAAGTAAAAACATTAGAATTCTTGAATAGATAAACCCAAGATATTCATAGTTAACATAAAATGGAGTTTAGGTATGTTAAAAGTACAAGCAAAATGCCAAAACAATGTTACTGCTGTCTTACAGTGACGTGTTCCAGTAAGTATACAGTTTTAACTTAAGGTATTCCAGCCTGTGTGGTCTCAGACTGTATTAACTCTTTTAAATGAAATGTTAGAATTTTGAGGCATTGGGGTTTTTTATTTTTATCTCCTTGTGATATCAGCTGGATTCATAATGCTTGCTTTGGAGGTAATTATAGCATTTTATACACTTTTAAAAGAAAGAACTTACATTCATGCTTGATCTTACTTCCTTTTTCACTTATCTTAATTCTGGAAGAAAAAAGTTAAAACATTTAAGTCTGAATCGTGGAAGAATTTATATAGGGCTCTTACGTGAGCTCTTTTATTACAGTAAAAAAAATGCACTAGATATTCATGTAATGAAATAGTTCATTATTTCAAATTATGTAGACAGCTAATTTGGTGATGATTATTATATTTTGCTGTGGGAAATTAAAGTGAAAATTGATCATTTGACTATACACATTCTTAAAAGTTTGGGTCTACCCATGAAGGAGAAAAATTTAAGCTCTTTTTTGTTAGGCTATATTGTTGGCCCAGATTCTTAATTGTTTCTTAGCCTGCTATTTCTTTTTTTTTTCTGAATTAATTAGCAAATTAATGTGGAAAACTTTTTAATCTAGCTTCTCATTAGATCATTGAGAATTGGCTGCTGCAATAAAATTTCTTATCTTCTTCGTATGGATAAATGCAAACTTCACTCTTTGAGAGGGAGTTCAATGGCATTATCGTGAATGATCAGTATCCAGGATCATGCTGAGCTTATGTTCTTAGAGGTTCATAATAAAGCCTTCACAGTGCTGCTGCCCTCTTTGAGCTATCAGAAGGAACCAGGGTATGCAGTATTGTGATGCCATTTGTAAACCCCTCAGCACATGATAGCAAGTACAGTTAGTACAGCCAAATTTTTCAGCTGATTCAAGACTAAGAAATTTTATATGTTTTGTCAAGATAACCAATAGGGTTTTAATTGGTTTTCCAGATCCATCAGAAGAGCCTAAAACATTGTTTGGAGGAACAATGGGGTCTCTCATTAATAACCTTCTAGTAAACAGTGTTCGTTTTTTTTTAAAAAGGATATTTCAAATCCAGATTTTTTTTGCATTATTATTTGTAGTCTGTGTTCTGTTTTTAATCAGCTGAACTTTACACTTTTGACCCTCTATCTTTAACTGTGGATAACCAAACCACACACACAAAAAAAGACTTGTAGTCTTGAGTCTTCCCACTCTAACTTCAGCACTTACCCCCAGATTGGGACCCTTCTTGCCCTAGTGTCTTTGTATAGTCAGGGGAGCACAAGTAAGAAGCATATTCCTTCAAAGCATAAATCAGGATGAAATTATACATTACACCTGAGTTGACCCAATAGCCATTAACACTGCCTTACCTCTTTGCTCCTAGTTCTCCTTCTCTCTCCTCCTCTTTGCACCAGCTCTGGCACATCTCTAATGCTGCACTGGGACCATGCAGATGACTAAACAGAAACCTAACCTGACCAAAAAAAGAAAACCACAAAAGTGAATTGCTGTCTGTTAGGTTAGCAGTTTGAATCACCTTTG